ATATATATATATATATATATATATATATATATATATATATATATATATATATATATATATATATATATATATATATATATATATATATATATATATATATATATATATATATATATATATATATATATATATATATATATATATATATATATATATATATATATATATATATTGGGGGGGCATACTTAAAACTCTAAGGAACAAAAATACGCAAATATGTATCTGTTGAAAATCATTATAGAAAAGATCCTAAAAAAAACAAAAAAATTTAAGAAAATTGTTCTGTGTTCATACTAAGCTGATTTATTTTAAATTTAAAAAACAAAATCTTCATATACGCAAACTGTTAGCATTTGGTCCAACAGAATGCTTCCTTAAATTTTGGGTCGTGTTTATAAGATAGACAGTTAATTTTACAATATTGTGGTTTCTGGTCTAATGAAATTATCGCAATGTATGGTGTTCCCCAGGTCTTCATACTCGGACCTTTGTAATTTAATGACTTTATAAATGACTTCATCAATGATTTACAATGCAATATCTTACTGAATTAAAACTGTATAGTCCTATTGATAGTATAGAAGACCGTACTGAATTGCAACTTAATCTCATACGGTTATCAACTTGGTGTAGAGAATATAAGCTGAAATTAAATATGTAATTCGATGATATATGATCGTTTGCAGAGTCCAGTCGAATTTGCTGATCAGATCAGGGTAATGAGGAAATAAGCAGTTGCAATCAGTTTGAAGATCTTCGTGTTCTGTTTGATACTAAATAAATATCAGAATTAGAAACAAGTTGTATTTATTACTCACTTGTACTCCTCTATAAGATTTTAAATGGAAAAATTTATCGTCTTGAAATCCTTGGTGGCCTTAGCTTTCATGTGCCAAATCTACAAATCTACAGACTTGTTCGCATTCGTGTTTATTCTATTTGCCTACGCCGAACAAATTTACCACTGTCCTCTCTTTTGTATAGTGTGTGCTCCATTTATATTTTCAATACCAAAATATATGAAATAAGGAAATTCATTCCTAAACTTATAAAATCAAATATAGTTTTGTATGACATCTAAAATATTCTGTATGTGACAGACCTCAAACTATTATCTCTTCCATGTTTAACTGTTTTATATATCTATTCTTTTATATCAATTCCCTATAATATTAATATTGCTAATATCTTCATGTTGTATATTTTGTATCTTTAAATTTTAATTTCCTTGTTCTATAATTGGATTTCTGTCTATGAAGTTTGTACTTAAAATAAATAAATAAACTTATTAGTTTACTTCAGTACCTATATAGTATAAAAATGTTATGGGAAGTTTCAACTCATCGAGACCAACATTGGCTTTATTTTTTTAAATAGTGACCTATCTTGTTTTTGTCAATTTTTATTATCCTTATAACGTCATAATATCAAAAGTTTAAAGGCCATTTTGGGCTGCAGTTTTATAAAATCAGAAATCAATAAATATGACCACTTTTTTTTAAATCAGTATTGGCAATATTTTGATAAGTATCATCACTGGACTAGGTATATTTTGTAGTGTTTTTGTCAGATTGTCAGTTGCTTTAAATATAGAGTACAGGGTACAGATAATTTGATGCTTTTCATAATTTGACGACAATGAAATGCCGCCTATCGTTCTAAGCTAGAACTGCCCATTGTGGTATTAAATACCAATGCATCTCAAAAAAAATGCTAGTTGCCCCGATAATACGTGCAAAAATAACATTTAGACGAATGCGGGAATGTATCAAAGAAAATAGCACCAAATAATAATTAGGGATTGACGTTTGGTTGACCGACCCCATCATTGCCTTTCTCTGACAGGAGACACGTTTTGAAAGTAGTTTTACAGCATATATTAGCATATCATAACAAAGTTTAATGAGTTTACAATTATTCTTGTTCTCCCGTTATTTACACTTACACGCGCCTCCATTTCCTATTATAAAATACACAAAATCCAATCAATAACAAAATAATAATTAATGAAGTTACTGTGTAGTTAAATCGTACTATAGAGTCGAGACTGCACAGTTTAAAATATCAAAATCTTAATCGAATATTTGAAAACTCATATGTTATGATTATATTTATAGATGTGAATACTCTCTTGAACATAATACAGGGAAAAAGTGCTCTTGTAATGTTGACAAATTTTAACTTATTTTAGAGTAAAATGCATTTAAAAATTTGTAAGTTGAAAACAGAAAAAATTAATATTTCCAAGAACTATTTATTTCGATAACTTATTTACATAAAAATATGAGTCAAAGAAAAGGCTCCAATATCCACCATGCATTTTCAGACGTTGATTACTTGACACATTTAAAAAATCTGAATTTGTTTCTGATAACTTCGTACACGTGGCTCTATCCTCAAGATTATTTACAAAATTGCGTAAATCATTGAGTTCAAATAGTACCACAGAAAATAATCTAACTGGTTTGGATCAGGTTACCGAGCAGGCCAGGTTAGTCCATTTTCGATTGGGGTTTAGGTGCTCCCGGACTAAAATGTGGATATGAGGTGGAGTGCCTTCGTACACAAACCACAAGTTTGACCTTGTTGCGATAGATATATCTCTAATAGATCTTCTATAAAAAGCAAAGATAGATCGTATTATCTACTACTTATGTCGGCACGTGCAACCGAACTATCTAATGTTGACATTTCACTGGACGTGAAATGACAAATGAAACTTTTATATTTGACTGTATCTGGATGAGTGAAGCTCCTAAATTTATTTTATAACGGTCAAAATGACACTAACATGTGAAGCTGAAGCTGAAATATTTTAGCTGTGGCTGTAGTAATAACAGTGGTAGTTTTCAAAAATTTTTTTCATCAAGGTAACACTGACGGTGTCATTATTGTCATAGTTGAACTCTACTGTCATGACTAGTGTTGCAATCAACACGAGACGGTGTCTTGATTTAAAGAAATTATTATTGCGAAAATTTATTATAAACTTTTCGTAAAAATCCCGTTTCATCAGTGAACAGAGTATTTGGCAGAAATAGAGGATCACCAAATTTGTTTACAACAACCACTGGTAAATCTATTTTGGAAATCTTTATCATGAAGCGCTCGAACTCGCAGATGGTAGGGTTAAAGCAGTTGCTCATGCAAAACTCGCCAAAATGAAGTTACGAAAGTTCCCTCCCGAGAGACAATTCTGCTAGTGCTAGTTCGCTGATCGTTTGCAAAAACATCCAGGATCTACTTTTCTCGTTCTAGCGTTAAAATATAACGATCTCTTCCATAGTAATTTCTGTTTATCTTAAACGTCACCACTACCCATCAATCGCTGGTCGACGTTAATAAATGTCTCTTGACATACAAGTCGACCATCCTGATAAGCCTCTGGGTATATTATGATCTTTAGCTGCATTGCCATAAGCTCTACCATATGGATATCTGTCGATTCGACAAAGATGTATACCATTTTGGAAAAGTCTTTAATCCGCATTTTCAAGAGTCTCAAAAACAAACAAATTTTAAAGCGCAGTACGTCTTGATTTTAAATCGAACCAGTCACTCTCACAAAAAAATAATTTACTTAAGCATACGATTGTCTTAATTATTGTAATACCTTCAACGACAAAAATTTAATTTGGATGATAATCCAAGTGAAACTCGGCGACATCGTCCCGTCTTTTAGCAGCTTGTATGTCAGTGTATATGCAGAAGCTATGCAAGATTAGGTGTGTGTTGTGTAGGTGATATACCATATTTCGGAGGGGATGTAAAGCAGTCGGTCCCTTGTTTGTTATTTGTTAGGCAAGTAAAAAATCCCTACTCTTAGATACAGAAGAGGTTTGGCAAAATTTCCAGATTGGAGGTAGCTCGTCTTCTAGCGTCGGTGAATGGTCCTGGTAGTGGAAATAGGCCGACATTAGATAAACGAATGAAAAAAAAACGAGAGGAAATGTTAAACATTTGTAGTTAATATACCTACTGTAATGAATCATACGCATGTTCATTACTATAGTTTCGGAAATTCCCGTTAATCTTGTGCTGTCGCGCACTTCCTGCCGACATATGATGAATCACGCAGATGTTCATTCCTAGAAGTTTCTGCAATTACCGTTTGGCAGGTGCTGCCAGGTACTTCTTGCCGCCATGAAATATTGACGTCACCAAGGCCAGGATTTTGGTATAAATAGAATGGCCGTAGCCGAGGAAAAGGATTCAGTTTTCTGCTGACAACTATTTTCAGCATGTTGAGCTGGGTAGTTGAGGAGTCTTAAGCGTGTTGAGCTTGACTCCATTTGGTTAGAAATCAGAATCCGACGACGACGCCGCCCGGCTGAATGTCTGGTAGCATCTTGAGGTTTTAAGCGTGCTGAGCTTGACCTCCTGGTGTTGGTAGCCATTTTGCCGTCGTCACCAGTCTAGTTATTATTTATCGCCGTGAGTCTTCAGCGTGTTGAGCTGGGCCCACTGTTGGTAAATAGTTGCTAAACCAACCGCCGTCACCAGTCTAGTAATTATTTATCGCCGTGAGTCTTCAGCGTGTTGAGCTGGGCCCACTGTTGGTAAATAGTTACTAAACCAACCGCCGTCACCAGTCCCCTAATTATTTATTGCCGTGAGTCTTCAGCGTGTTGAGCTGGGCCCGCCGCCGTTAAATAATTTTCGAACTTACCGCCGCATCGAATACTAGATGTTTTACTTCAGTACATGGAGCTGAAGCCCACCGTCACCATGCATTCACCGAATTACACTCTCCGTAAATTAATTTCACCGATGGATCATGGATTAATTCTCCAAACCAGCTATCCGAAAGCAAACACTGTTACGACGCCCAAACATACTTCGCTACATATTTTGGGCGTCCGAAAAGACACCGTTACACTACCTAGTAAATAAAGTTTTTCTTCCCGACGCAAGAAAATTTTATTTAACTTTTTGTATTAATCGAATCATACATGACCATTTTTGCACTCGCTTTATTCAAAATTGGATAGCTCAAGAGCACTTGGTATGGTGGCTGAATGGTAAAGTGCTTATATCTTACTTACTCGTAACCGAAGATCGATGGTTCGATTCCATTCTGGAGCAAGCTAGAAATTTTATTTGTAATTTGTTTTGGACTAAAATGAAAGAGGAAATTGTTGATGCTCTAGGTATAGTTCGGACTCCACGATAAACTGTAGGGACTCGTCTCTTTACCTAACATAAAATTTTGGGATTTTCAGGGAGTTACTGGGATGACTTGAGAAGCGGTTAAAAAAACAGAGTATTTTTCAAAAAAGTGTAGTTCATGTTGCAAATTGGAAAATTTTTTTACGAATAAAGGAATATGGAACGATATGTGCTAGAACCGTCCAGTTTCACACGTTTATGGCAGTGGATTTTTTTGTTGCTTTAAATGATAGCACTTATTAACAACAAAATACATAGCTACCCTAGCTTGACGGGTTCCTGATATACTAAATAAACACCAATGTTTTTACCCGTGTTTCAAATAACTCAAACATCTTTAGGAAGTATTTGCGGACATTAATGCACTTTTCTTCGTATTTTTGCATATGGAATCTGCCCTCAAATTTAGGCATAACAATTTAGAAACACCCTGAATATGAATCTATCAAGATTGATAATATATTTGTCAAAGTACTTAATTTACACAAGCAAGCTGGCTTTTTTTTGTAATAATTTTTACTAGGTACGAGTTTTTCGAAAACAAAATTACGTTTTAAATGAGGTTAAAAGTTTTGCTACTACAATTTTGTTTATATCCCCTTACTGAGTATGTAGGGAGAAGGAAATTGTTTGTTAGATTGGGATTAAACCTATCAATGTAATTAATTGTAAAGGGGCCTTATTTCCAAGGTTCGTCAAAATGGTAGCAAGTTTAAATTATACGTACTTAAATATTTACTTTTCCAATTTTACATGCCTTCTTTTAATTAAAAAGAAAACTATGTAAAGAAAGAACGGAGCAAATTTGTTTGTTTTAGCCAAGGAAAATATTAATATTAAAAAGAACATCAGTCAGTGATTTTATTAAACGAATACGAACGTGTCATCTATCTAATTATTCCTCGAGTTTAATACTAGTAAAAAATCAATTTGAGATTAGTAAATCTATAAATTATTGAAGATATCACGTGACTATTGAAATATTTTGACAGAAAGTCACGTTTGATTCCAAAGTATAATTGTATACAGTTAAAACAATGCTTAAAGCACAATTACTCTCTACCGAAAGGATGGCGGTATCACTTTCTTTTTATTTTTCTAGTAGCAAAGATGTCAATGGTATTTGTTTTAAAACATACCTAGTAGTGTTTTGATAAAATGTCATTTCTATAGGTATACTGAACAAAGTAAAATATCTTACAACACCAAAGAATAATATTAATATCTTTAAGTACAAATCCACATATCAAATTATACAGGGTGTGTTTAAATTTTATGCATATATTCAAATCTGTAGATCCTTATGAAAATGTGAAACCAAACCCACAACTGAAATTCAAAATACCAAAAAAATTAAAATAACTTTGGACACATCTATTTTTCCTCAATAATAATAATAATAATAATAAAAACAAAATAATGATAATAATAATAATAATAATAATAATAATAACGGGGGTGCAAAGGGCCGGCAACCTCCACGTTGGTGCACCCTGGACAGGCAGAGGCAACTCTGCCTGATTAATGTCGGCCGGGAGTACCAGGGCTAACCACCCTGGTACTCTTACAGCTCGGGTTACTTATAACCTAAGAAGGGCCCCTCACAATCGACCTCGGTCGGATGGAGGTCAAGGACAGATGGGAGGGCCTTACCGGACGGTCCAAACGATGACAACAACGCTATTGTACATGGACGCTTTAAGTGGACGAGGGAACTAAAGGATGACTTGCTGACCTACCGCGAGAGTAGCGAACCTGAGCGAAGGGGATACATGGCGCGATTGCATGCACTGTGGTGCGAAATGCATCCGGAGCATCGAGCCTTCTCTCAACAACACCTGAGAGACCAAGTATCCTTTTTGCGCAGGACAGGTTACGTAAGGGCACCCCGTCAGCTGGAAGAACTGCCAGCCGCAGTTCCACCGCGGCAATTACCAACTGATGGGGAACATCCATTAGAGTTCGCCGATGTAGACTTAAGGACAAGGGTTAGCCTTAACACCAGGGCTAACCTAAAGCCACAAGACCTGACTAGAATGGACGCGGTCATCGATGAGGAAATTCCGGAAGATGCAGACATCTGGCAAATCAACTGTGCCGTGTACAACGCCGCGAAGCAACTCGTCCCTCGTGAGAGGTCAACCAATCACGGGGTCGAAAAAGCCAAGCGGCGTGTACAAAAATCGAGGCCAAGATACAGTCGGCCAGACAACACGCTTCTCGGATCCAGAGTGTGGTGGAATATAAGACGACTGGTAGAGTATTTACTCCCAGAATCCGGCGCATAGCAGCCGGATTAAGACGTCAACACCATACTCTAAATCTGACAGTGGTGCTTACCATCAAGCAGCACTGTCTAGATAGGATCCGAGCGCTCATGGCGATAAAGAAAACATTGAAGAGGCGGGTGAGGAGTATGGAACAAAACAATTTGTTCCGTACGAATCCTTCTCACCTCTTTCAAGAGCCACAGCGTGTTGTCGAGAATCCGCCGACTGTAGAAGATGTCGAAACCTTCTGGAAGGGAATCTACGAAACGACACGTCCATTCAATAGCGACACTCCAGCAATTGCACACTTCGAGGCTCTATGCCACAGACATCTTGAAGAGCCAGAAGAAGTGTGCCCGGCAATCAGTACGGAGGAAGTCCAACAAGCACTTGTTGGTACTAAGAACTTCGCTGCCCCGGGCCCAGACGGCATTAACAACTGGTGGTGGAAGAAATTTCCTTCCACTCACCGCCGTCTGGCGCGAGTTTTCAACTCATGGTTGAACGAGGGGCAGCAGATTCCGGACTGTTTTGTCGAGGGACGTACTGTACTTATCCCCAAAAAAGGGGATCTTTCCGACCCGAGGAATTATAGGCCGATCACTTGCCTTAACTCCTGCTACAAGATATTTACACGTATCTTGTATGCTAGGACACTGAGGTCTGTTGATCCGGTCTTTCAGCAGATACACGAACAGCGTGGTGCCAAGAAGGGCATGGCAGGTTGCAAGGACAGCCTGCTGATAGACCGCTGTATTACACAGGATTCTGTGCAGTACAAGCGGAATCTATCGATGGCCTGGATTGATTACCGCAAGGCATTTGATACAACATCACATGAGCTATTGTTGTACTTGCTCGAATGTCTTGCGGTACCAGCACCATTAGTGAGATGCATAGAACAGCTGCTGGCGCTCTGGAAGACCCGCTTCACCATAACATCAGGTGCACAGCGGGGCACGACAGAGCAGGTGGCATTTAGGAGAGGAGTTTTCCAGGGTGACTCCCTGAGTCCTCTCCTCTTCTGCATCTCACTGCTGCCGTTGTCTGTTGGGCTCCGCCAAACCCGCGGATATCAATGTGGACCACCCAGCGACCGGAGGCATAAGGTCACCCATCTATTCTATATGGATGACCTTAAACTTTATGCCTCCGGACAGCGCGAACTACAAAACGCTCTTAGGGTGGTCGAAGAATATACGCGGGCAATTGGTATGGAGTTCGGGTTGGACAAATGTGCAGTCGTCCACCTCAAGAGAGGACGATGCGGGGAATTCCCTGAAGATGCGCAGCTCGCAGACGGAAGCATCCTAAGACATCTGGATGCCGGAGAGACCTATACATACCTGGGTGTGCAACAAAGGCACATCCAGGATGTAACACAAATAAAGGATTCTCTCCGCGGCAAGTACAGACACCGTCTCCGAAAGATTTGGTCTTACGAACTTTCGGGGAAGAATAAGGTGTCTGCAACTAATATGCTTGCCGTTCCGGTTCTGCTCTACTCCTTCGGAGTAGTAAAGTGGAGGGTAGATGAGCTGCGTCAATTAGACAGAGATACCCGCAAGATGATGAATATTCACAGAAGTATTCATCCTAGATCGTCCGTTCCTCGTGTGTACCTCCCACGACAACGGGGGGGGGCGAGGACTCTTGAGTCTGGAGTGTACGCATGGCAGAGTAGTACTGAGTATGGCATGTAACATACTCAGGAGCTCAGATCCCCGCTTGCGGTTCGTAAAACATCACGAAACTGTAGGAGTGGGAGCAGGATTGTTCAAGGCAGCAAAAAGAGCCGCAGATGAACTCGGTCTCGCATTTGACATCAGGCGAGGAGGCCGGCGAGGTGCTGATGTTGAGTCAGTCACCGAACTTCAGCCAAATCGCCTGAAAGCCCGAATTAGAGCTGCCGAACAGGAACATCTGTTTCGGCAGCACGTCGATAAACCCCAGCATGGTGTCTTCTATAAGAACATAGAAACGCTGGGTTTATCGACCAGGCTGACATTCGCCTTTCTAAGGTCGGCCGGGCTTAAGTCAGAGACCGAGGGATTCATTATGGCCTGCCAAGATGGTGTTATCAACACCTTGGTCTACCGTAGCCGCGTGTGGCGTGTAGAGGTTCCTGATATCAACTGCAGGAACTACCATCAGGCGCCGGAATCGCTCATGCACTTACTATCTGCATGCCCTGTATACGCGATTTCGGCCTACATCCACCGACATAACGCGGCTTTACGAGTGCTATACTACCATCTAAGGCACTCGTACGGGGTAGACCAGACACCAGTGCTGCCTTACGTCCCCGGAGATATTGAGTCCGTTGTCGAGAACGAGAAGTGCCGGATTTACTGGAACTACTCGTTCCCGACTGTCAGGCTAATCCAAGACAACAAGCCTGACATAGTCCTCCTCGACCATCAACTCAAGGTGATGTATGTCATCGAGTTCTCGGCACCTGCGGAGAAAAACATCACCTTGAAGGAGGAGGAGAAACGGACCAAATATCGCGATCTCCGGTACGAGCTCCAAGTGCTGTATTCAGGCTACTCGGTCAAAATGGTTGTCCTAATAATCGGTGTACTCGGAGGGGATAAAGCCTACGCTGCTCTCGGAACTGAAGATCATACCGGCCTGCCAAAAATC